GCCCAACAGTTTCCAGTATTTAGCCGATGATCGTTTCACCCCTAAAGACGAGCTTAGGTACCCTGTGACCTGTAACGAGCTTGGTCCTCCTTCTCCTTCTCATCTCGTATCCCCCTCCTACTCCTCCTCCTCCTGCTCCTCGTCCTCCTCCTTCTGCTCCTCCTCCTCGTCTTCCTCCCTCCTCCTCACCTGTCCTCCCCTTCCTGCTCCCGCTCCTCGTCCCCTTCCTGCTCCCCCTCCTCTTCTTCTTCGTCTTCTTCCTTCTCCTCCTCCTCCTCTTTTTCTTGATCTATTGTTGTCAGGACGCAGTGTTCACGTTGGTCCTGGGATAACTGTTTTGGCACGACTGAGGCAACAGTCACGCAGATTCGAGGCGCTGACGTTACAAAAATGATGTCTTGGCGCGGTTGAGAGTGCGACCCTACCTAGGAGTTGGAGCCTCCGGCCGGTACTATGTGCGAAACCTTCGTGAATCCTAAGGGCTCAAGCTGCCCCACTAAGGGCTCAAGATGGCCCACAGACGGACAACATGCATGGAACATATGCGCGCGCGCACACACCCACACCCACACCCACACCCACACCCACACCCACACCCACACCCACACCCACACCCACACCCACACCACACACCACACACCACACACCACACACCACACACCACACACCACACACCACACACCACACACCACACACCACACACCACACACACAAACACACACACAGCAGCAGCAATAGTGTACTGTGCTGCGCTGTGCTATGCTATGTTATGCTATGCTATGCTATGCTATGCTGCACAATGCTATGCTGGGCTAGGCTAGGCTAGGCTATGATATGCCATGCTATGCTATGCTATGCTATACTATGCTATGCTGCGCTGTGCTATGCTGCGCTATGCTATGCTGCGCATACTATGCTATGCTATGCTATGCTATGCTATGCTATGCTATGCTTTGCTTTTGCTTTGCCTTCGCTTTTGCCTTCACTTTTGCCTTTGCTTTTGCTTGTGCTTGGCACCCAGGGAGCGCAACTGGGGGAACTGCGCGTTTGCTTTTACCTTTGCTGTTGCTTTTGCTTGGCTCCCAAGGGACTGGGGGAACCGCCCGGGGCGGTTTGCACTGCCCGGCCCCATTAAGCCAAGCGAGTAAGAACCCTTCTAGGCAGAGCCTAGGTAGGAAATAAAACACCGCCCGCAATGAACATACATTTGTGCACGTATTGAGAAGGGTTGGACTTCGATGGACGGTTGTTGCTGCATCATCGTTGATGCGGCGTGTGGTTCCATAGGTCCTCTTCCTCCTTCTCCTCCCCCTTCATGTCCTTCATCTCCTTCATGTCCTCATCACCTTCATGTCCTTCATCTTCTCCTCCTCTTCACCTCTCCTCCCATCTCCTCCTCCTGCTCCTCCTCCCTCTCCTCCTCCTCCTCCTCCTCCTCCTCCTCCTCCTCCTCCTCCTCCTCCTCCTCCTCCTCCTCTCCTCCTCCGCCTACTCCCCCCCCTTCCTCTCCTCCTCCTCCTCCTTCCTCCTCCCTCCGCCTCCTCCACCCCTTCCTCCTCCACTCCTCCTCCCCTTCCTCTCCTCCTCCTCCTCCTCCTCCTCTCCTACTCCTCCTCCTCCTCCTCCTCCTCCTCCTCCTCCTCCTCCTCCTCCTCCTCCTCCTCTCCTCCTCCTCCTCCTCCTCCTCCTCCTCCTCTCCCCCCTCGCCCTCCTCCTCCTCCTCCTCCCCTCCTCCTCCTCCTCCTTCCTCCTCCCCTCCTCCTCTTCCTCCTCCTCGTCCCCTCCTCCTCCTCCTCCTCCCTTCCTCCATCCGCCTCCTCCTCCTCCTCCCTTCCTTCCTCCTCCTCTCCTCCTTCCTTCCTTCCTTCCTTCCTTTCCTTCCTAATCCTTCCTTCCTTCCTTCCTCCACCTTCCTTCCTTCCTTCCTTCCTTCCTTCCTTCCTTCTCCTCCCCTCCGCCTCTCCTTCCTTCTTCCTTCCTCCTCCTCCCTTCCTCCTCCCTCCTCCTCCTCCTCCTCCTCCTCCTCCTCCTCCCCTCTCCTCCTCCTCCCTTCCCCTCCTCCCTTCCTTCTCCTCCCTTCCTCACTCCTCCTCCTCCTCCTCCTCCTCCTCCTCCTCCTCCTCCTCCTCCTCCTCCTCCTCCTGCTCCCAGGCGCCCCAGGGGCCCGCCGCGGCCCAGCCCAGCGGCGGCGCAGCGGCTTCCGGCCAGGCCCCAGGCGGCGCGCCCCCGGCTCCTCCTCGGGTTTCGGGCGCGCGCGCGCGGGGGGAGGGCGGGGCGGCATCGTAGCCGTTGTCGGCGGCCTCGGCGCGGGCTCGGGTAATGGGGGGCAGGAGAGGCGGGAGGGCAGGGGAGGGAGGGGCAGGGGAGGGGGAAGGGGCGGGAGGGAGGGGGGGGGCCCGAGGCGGAGAAGGGGGAGAGGCAATGGGGAGGGGGAGGGGCAGGATGAGGAGGAGTAGGAGGAGGAGGAGGAGTAGGAGGGGGAGGAGGAGGAGGAATGGGAGGAGGAGGAGGAGGAGGAGGTTGATGATTATGATGATGATGATGATGATGATGATGATGATGATGATCATGATGATGATGATGATGATGATGATGATGATGATGATGATGATGCTGATGATGATAGTGATGATGGTTATGGTGGTGATGATGATGATGATGATGATGGTGGTGGTGGTGGGATGCTGACGGTGCTGACGATGATGATGATGATGATGATGATGATGATGATGATGATGATGATGATGATGATGATGATGATGATGATGATGATGATGATGATGATGATAATGATGATGATGATGATGATGATGATGATGGCGATGCTGCTGATGATGATGCTGATGATGGTGTTGATGACGATGACGGTGACGATGACGATGATGATGATGATGATGATGATGATGATGATGATGATGATGATGATGATGGCGTGTATGATGATTATGCTGATCGTGATGACGATGATGCTGATGACGATGATTATGATGATGAAGATGACGACGGTAAGGATGATGATGATGATGATGATGATGATGATGATGATGATGATGATGATGATGATGATGATGATGATGATGATGATGATGATGATGATGATGATGATGGTGAGGATTGTAATAGTGATGGTGCTGATTGTGATGATAAGAATTATAGTGATGAGGAGGAGGAGGATGACGATGACGACGATGACGACGATGGTGATGTTGATAACGGAAATTGCGCGTTCTACCGCTGCTGGCGGAAAACTGGGTGGGCCAGGTCACTACCGGTTTGACCCCCCCCCCCCCCCCCCCTCCGGAAAACCGGGGAGGGTCACTACCGGTTCGAACCCTTCTCCCCCCCTCCCCAGTCCCTCATGAAAAGGGCTAGGGGGTCACTACCGGTTCGAACCCCCCCCCCCTCGAAAACCGAAAACCGGGGGGGGTCAGGCGATCTTGGGGGCCTCTTCGCCGCCTTGGGGTGTTGGAAGCTCGAAACGATGAGAGCGCTAACATGTGTCACAAACGTGTGTGAATTATCTGTCCCCTTATGATTTTTTTGTGGGGCCGCCTTGGTCGTCTTCGGGCGCTCTTGTGCCTTCCCTGGGGCCCATTAGATCGTCGTGGGGGCCTCTTGGGGCCCTCTTGTCCCGTCTTGGGGCCCTCTGGCCTCGGGAACAGTCCTGCGACGCACCTCGAAAAGGCACGTGGCACGCCCCGTGAGTTCGGGGTCTGAGCTCCTTCTACACAAGCATTTGCAATGTTCCATGTCGAGAAGGGAGGACTCTCGAGGACCTGAGGGCGCTCAACTCAATGCCTCTGGCCCCGTGGCGGATACATTTGCATATGTAGCAATGCCGTGACTTAGTATTGTACACGTTGCGCTCTGAATGCGTACATGTGCGTAATTGAACACGGTCGTTGCGGTAGACGTTCGCACGTACATCTATTTGCAGACACGTGTTTCTCGGAATGTACCCGGCCGTGCGCACTTGGGGCAAGCGCCGCGTTCTTCCCATGATTTTCTGTGTGTGCGTGTCGGTTGTACCAAGTGTTGAGGACAGGTGGAGAAGTAGTCAACATTACCTTACCTCTAGCTGCAGATCGTTTGAAGAGGTAGCCATGGAACGACACTGCACAACTGTTGTTCACCGAATCATCCGTTCGTGGCACAACAACTCTCCTTATCTGGGCGCTGCATGCACTTCATTATTGTGAAGGGCAGCCAAGAGCGCCAACACTCGCGCACATACTCTCAAACTCTGCTCGCAAGTGTAGGGATGGGCAAACAGCTAAGAGCATACGTTTGCATGGGAGCTGTAAAGTCAAGGCGTGCGATTACGCGTAGAGCGATCCATTTAGAGTGGTTTCGTCTGTGTGTGTGTGTGTGTGTGTGTGTGTGTGCCAGCGCCCTTTTGAGCTCACGCATCGGTTCATGCAGCTGCTGCCATGCCTCCTCTGTTTGTGGCTCGGCCTATGCGCAGCGTCCGATTTTGCCGATGTGCTGGCCCGTGCCGCTCGCGTCAAACATGACATCGTTTCTTGGCGTCGAGAGCTCCACCGCTGGCCAGAGCTCAATTATCAGGAGCACAAGACCTCGAAGTTTGTACAGAAGGTGTTGGACGAGATTGGGCTCAACTATACCACTGGATGGGGGGTGAACACGAGACAGGACCGCATCCCTGGGCATGGCGGCACAGGGATTGTCGTAGACATTGGCACAGGAGCACCCCCAATTGTAGCTTTGCGTGCAGATTTTGATGGTTTGCCAATTGCCGAGGTAACCGCAGTGAGTTTCAAATCCGAGAACGAGGGTTTGATGCATGCTTGTGGCCACGATGGTCATACGTCCATGCTTCTTGGAGCAGCCAAGTTACTGAAAGCCTTCAGGGATGACGGGATTTCTGGTGGTATGTCTCTTTGGCCAGCTTCGTTGCAGGGCACTGTACGGCTAATCTTCCAGCCTGCCGAGGAGTCTGGTGCAGGCGCGGCACGCATGGTCGAAGAAGGCGTTCTGCAAGACGTGTCGCGGATATTTGGATTACACCTATGGCCTTCGCTGCCCAGCGGCACCATCGGAGGCAGGGCTGGCTACGCCATGGGCGGCGAGGAAGACTTCGACCTCATCATCGTAGGCCGCGGTGCACATGGTGCCATGCCGCACGAAGGCATTGACCCAATCGTGGCAGGCTCCGCGGTTGTGCAGGCTGTGCAAGTTCTCGTCTCCCGTGAGACAGATCCACTTGGATCTGCAGTTGTGAGTATCACGATCTTCCAGGCAGGCAACGCCTACAACGCGATACCCAGTGAGGTCCGGCTTGGCGGCACCCTTCGAGCATTGACGGTGGAATTGCTCGAGAAGTTGAAGCAGCGCTTCATCCAGGTGGTGACCAATGTGGTCGCTGCGCACCTGTGCTCTTTGAGCCGTGTGGACTTCTCCCCCGACATGTACCTGCCAGTCCTTAACGACGTATCTCTCTGGGAATGGTTGTCCTCCTCGGAAGCTGGTATTGTGGGGCCTGGTGGAGTGCCATTTAGAGGTGAGTTGCCCCCAACTTTTGCCAGCGAGGATTTCTCATTCTTCAGCGCGAAGGTGCCCGCGGCCTTCATTTTTCTGGGGATGGGGTCCGGCTCCGACGCTGCAAGTCCAGGATATCCCACGAACGCTTCATTGCACAACCCTGGTTTCAACATCGACGAGGACGTCCTGCCTCTGGGCGCGGCACTGCACGTGCAACTGGCGGTGCAGTCACTCGTCAAGCTGGGCAGATACACGACGCCGACGACGGAGTTGTGACTTTGGACTCTCGTCATGATGTGTTTGACTACTATCGCCTCGCATAAGCGGGCGGCGCGAGGGGGTGGGTCTTCCAACCAGGCGGGGGCTTCTCGGATGGGCCCGGAAGCTTTCAGCAAGGCTTCTCAGAAGCCGGAAGGGAGGGCTAATAAGAGGCCCCCTGCAATCTCGGAAGATTCCCGGCCTTTTGCGCAGGCAGCCCACTTCGCACAACCCCCTTGTGCATGCCGCCTGGTCTGCCTGCCTGCCTGCGTTTTTTATGTTTGTTCTCTCTCTCTCTCTTTCTCTCTCTCGTCTCTCGCCCCTCTTTCGCTAGACCTCCGTTTGGTTGCCTCCTTATCTTCTGTCTCTGTCTCTATTCAAACGCTTCGCGCTCACCGCCCGCCAGCTCTTGTGCTCGCACGACGATCTGGACATGGCCCCATGATGTGCTACCCCCCAGGAGGGCAACATCGGCTCTAAGACCATTCCAAAATTGCCAGCAATGGCCCAAGAGGCCCCCCAAGAGTGACGGTGCGGCCCAGGAGGCCCCTTAGGCGGCCCAAATGCGAACATCCCCGTGGTGGGCCCGAGACCTGCCCAAATTCATCACAAGGAGGGCCCGGGTTTGGATCCAGCTTGGGGCCCAAGTTGGGCCAAGGACCTTCCAGAAATGGTTCCCACAGCGTTTCCAGCGAATGTCCAAATAGCACAGACACTTCTACTCCGCCAACCCCCAAGTTGATGATTCGTGAGTTGATCGGGTGCCCCCCCCCCTCTTCGGCAAGGTATAGATTAGGAGGAGGGGAGGAGGAGGAGGAGGAGGAGAATGACGACGAATCGTGATATGAGGAGAAGGAGGAGGGGGAGAAGAGGAGGAGGGGGAGAGGAGGAGGCGGAGGAGGGGGAGGGCGAGAAGAGGAGGAAGGGGAGGAGTTCCAGCAGCTGGAGCAGGGGCGGGGAGGCAGGTGCGGGGGAGGTCGTGGGCAGGGAGGGCACGAGGCTCCGGCGACCGACCCTGCTCCTGCGCGCTCGTGCTGCCAGGCAAGGTCCGAGAGCGGCGCCCGAGCCAGCGCGCCTCTGGGGCCATCGGGCCTGGTGCGCCGCGGCCCGGGCCAGGGCGGCTGCCCTTCTCCACGGGGGCGGCGCGAGGGTGCGAGGACGTCGCCCATCGCGCGGCATGGTGCACGAACGTGGCGGCCTAGACATCGGGGCCCTCCTTCGGCCGTGCGGTCCCCTGTGGGCCGTCCTCTCGGCCTCGTCGTCGCCATCTTGGGCCCCCCCCCTTTGGGGGTCGTCTGGGAGCCGCCTTTGGAGCCTGTCGGGGCTTTCTCTGTGGCTCTGCTGGGGGCCCGCTTCGGTCAGTTGGGCCCCTGTTGGGTGTCTGTTTTCCTCGGGGCCCTCGGAATTTGCCTTGGAGCCATCTTGAGGTTCCTAGAGCAGTTTTTGAAGGAACGGAGTCGGGAGCGCCAGAGCCATACGAAAAGATGACGCATCGTGCTTTATTTGCTTTAGCCTCTCATGGGGCTTCCTCGCGACGCTCTTGGGCAGCCGATGGCGACGCCAGGAGCGAGGACGATGGCAGCGTCAGTGGGCCACTCGGTTCGCATCTCTGCCTCGCCCCTCCCTCCGCCGTGCCCTCCGGATCCCTCGCTCTCCTCCGTCCCCCTCGTCCCTCCTCCTCTCGCTGCGCGGGCCTATCTGGCGTGGGTCGCGCCCGTGCGACGGCGCCCGCCTGGGACTCCGCCCAGGATTTCCAGGCATCCCCCCCCCCTGGAAGTGGTGTCAGGATGCACCAATTGGGGACCTCACTTCCTCGCGCGCCAGGGGTCAGCATGACCTGAGCTCCCAATAGTCCCCTTTGGAAGAGTGCGCGCCTTCATGCATATCACACCATGCATGCCAATCTCTACCTCTGTCTCGACAGGTGTACTCTGTCAAGCGTTTAGTTTTTTGCACTTCCTGGTGAGGCATTCAAGTCTTCTCCCCACCCTCCGCGCTCCTCCTCCTCCTCCTCCTCCTCCTCCTCCTCCTCGTGCCCCCCTCTCCCCCGATCCTCCTCTGTTCCTCCTCCTCTTTCTCCTCCTCCACTTCTTCTCATTTTCCTGTTCCTTCCCTCCTCATCCTCCTTCATCCCTTTTCCTTGAACATCTTTTTTCCCTGTCACACCACCAGACGTGTCAGTAGGGTGGGCTGGGCGTTTCGCTTGAGAGTTTCTCGCCTTTTGTGATCCTGAAGCTTGACCTTTGGAATCGTTTCAAGGATGGAGGTCGGGTCGTTTCCAAAATGTGGCTCTCGACACAGCGCCGCGCGCCGCGTACGTTCGTTTTGAAAAGTCTGCAGCAGTGTCAAAGATGGAGGGCGGCTCGTTTTCAAAGTATGGTTCTCGCTTTGAGCGCCGCGCACACTCGTCTCAAAAGTTCGCAACAGCTTCAAGGATGGACAGCGGCTTCTTTTCAAAGCGTGGCTCTCGCCGGAGTGCGCCGCGCACATTCGCGTTGAAAGGTCGCAACAGCTTCAAGGATGGAGGTCGGTTTCTTTTCAACATGTGGCTGTCGCCTTAGCTCGCCGCGCACATTCGTCTTTTAGTTGTATTGTTGTCTTTGTTTCAACAGCTTCAAAGGTTGAACATTCTTCCCATTCAAGATGTTAACCAGCGAAGGTCCGCAACCATGTGTTTCTAGCCGTCTATGTTGTTCAATATACGTGGATAAATATGTGTGGTGCAATCTACGATATTCAATATATATATATAGATTATGCGTGCAGTCTATGTTGTGCAATATACATCGGCGCTCCGAAAGTTTATTCCGATTTGAGAGGCACGGCGCCGCGCGAATGCAGCGCAAACGCTATGCTGGAAGGGCGCGACAATGCATACCCCCTGGACAGGCGAGAACAGCCGCGCCCCCGTGCGAACCCCGATCCCGCGCGGGGCGAGTTCCCGTTGACAATGGCTCACCCGGGAAACTGTTTCTTGCGCAGGAAGTCCGGAACTATCTTCCCATCGGCGGCTCTTTCGGACGAGGCCCAGAACCACCGAGAAACCGTTTGTGATAGGATGTTCTAGGCGATTTGCCCATGTTCGGTTTCTTCGGAGTGGGCCCGAAGACTTCGAGACGATGTTTTTGCAAGGAGTCCTAGGCGGTTTGCACATATTCGGGTCGTTCGAACTGGACCCGGATTTCCTTTTGGGATTTCGCCACGTTCAGGTCGGCCGATAAACTTTTCCGGTCGTCGTTTGACCGAACCCGAAAGGTTTTTTCGAAAAAATCCTATGTCGTTTGCTCGTTTTCGGGTCAGTACACCGTTGGGGTTTTCAAATTCTAATTGGGAAGGGGGAACCCGATCCCGCGACCCCGGGCGGGGGTTAGGCTCTGCCCTTGTATTGTACTGGGCCCCTCCGGCCAAACGGGGTGCTGGGCTGCCCATCGGCGCGCCGACTCTGCCCTCGCGACATCGCCCCCGTCCGCCATCGGGCCCCGTGAGTCTTATCCTGCGCGCGCCACCCCAGATGGCCGCGGCGAGCACGGTGGCGAAATTTGGGAAATTTCGGATCGGCGCAGTATGTTATGTAATATATTTTGTGCAATCGTAGTGGGTGAACCCATGTGGTACAAACTATGTGGTGCACTGTACGTGGTGCAATCTATCTTGTGGAGTGTATACGTATATATGATGTTGCGCAACCTATGCGTCGCAGCCTATGTGGTGCAATCGACGCGGTGCAATCGGTGGTGCAATATATGTCGTGCGATCAATGTTGTACAATCTATGTGGTGCAACTCGCCCTGCCGAACTTGAAGTTTTTAGCTCCACTGCTCACGCATTCATTCCACCCAACCACCCGCAACTTGGTATGCAAAACCCATGCGGCGGCGATTGCTATGATTGCTTGGCGTTGGCTGGCGCATCGCTGCGGCCGCGCTAGCGCGCGCAGGCTCGCGCGCAAAGCGGCGAGGCGCTGACCGCTGGGGACATCCCAGCGCGTCTCACAGGCCTCGCTGGCGCGCGGGCACGTCAGTGCGAGTCGGTGACTCGGGTGGGCGCGGTGTCATGGCGACGTCAGCAAGTGCTGACACGATCATGATAGTGGTGATGCTGGTGGCGATGACGACGATGACGGCGGCAAGGCGGATGACGGCGCGGATGCTGATCACGCCGACGACGATGATGGTGTCCACGTGTCGGCGACGCATGGCTTGAAATGGTTTCGACATGCGCGCGCGGCCGACGGGCACGAGTGGCCCGCGCGGTGTTATTTGACGGGGATGGCGCCCCCCAGCGCGCGCGCGGCCCAATTGGTCGCACTGGATGAGCACATTGAAAAACGCAGGTTGTTTCGCAAGATTGCGCAAACCCGTGCGCAGACTTACTGTGAAACATCATGTTGCAAAACCATTGGTTGCTTGTAGGTGTTTGGGGACTTCGGTCCTGAAATCCTCACGGAAACAATCTTTCTTGGAGGATGTCGATGCGCGCGCGCGACGACGCGCGAGTATCGATTTCGCCCGTTTTTTTGTGCAGAAGGGGTTTTAAACACGGATGAGTGTCGATAAACGAGTGTTCGCTCATCGTGTCATTTCACAAAAGGGAGGGGGGCGATGAGGGGTCTAGCTGGGATTGTATGATATCGCATGTGAAATTCACCAGGGGGCAAAACCGTACGTGAATTACACCCCCAGGTAGGACCCATGTGGTGCAACACATGTAGTGCAACCCGTTTGTGCTCGCAGTGCGTTGTCAACTCCACTGCTCGCGCAACCATCCCAACCGCCCACCCGCAAATAGGTTTGCAAAGCGCAAAACCCATGCGGCGGCGTTTGCCAAGAATGCTGCTGGCACAGGGTGGTGCATCTTTGCGGCCGCACTAGCCCGCGCATGCTCGCGCGCGAACGGCCAGCTAGTTTGGCGCGACGGACGCGGTCGCGGTGGCGTTGGCCGCTGGGTACTTCCAGCGGGGATTTGAGTGCGAGCAGGCGACTTGGGCGGGTGCGGTAACATGGCAACGTCGACAGCGGTAGACGCGATGATTGATGACGATGATGACAATGTCGACGGCAAGGCCAATGACGACGTCGATGCTGATCACGCCGACGACGATAACAGCGTCATCGCGTCGGTGATGAAGGTTTTCGAAGGAGTCGACATGCGCGCGCGGCCGACGCGCGAGAATGGACCGCATGGAATTATTTGACAATGATCGTGCCCTTCAAGCACGCGCGCAGGGGCGATCGAATGACTGACATGCGGCGCGAGAGGTCCGTTTGGCCGAATTTTATGAACACGTTGAAAGTTCTTTTGAAAATTCGCAGGCGCGCGAGCGCAGGTATTTTGGGAAACTGGTGTTGCAAAACCATTTGCTTTTATGCGCTTTTTAAGGGGCATTCGGTTTTGATTCCGAACGGATTCGGAGGTTTTGGGACGATTTCCGCACGAGCGCGCGACGACGCGCGCGCAGGCAATCTTGCGACAGCGGGCGCGCAAAAAGGTT